CATGATGGAAATCACCCAGGCATGGTCCCTGAGGGGCCTCTCTGCCACCCTGTCAGACAGCAGAGCTTTGATAAGGGACATCTGCACAGGATTCCTGCTGTCCCCCAGGCAGTGAAGCTGCAGCCAGGAATGACTCTAAGGATGAGAAGGGCTGGACAGAATGAGCAGGGTCATCCTGTCCAGGAGCCTTGTTCGTCCCCAGCTCATCATGGGGCCACTGCAGCCTTGTCATAACTGGGGAAGAGAGCAAGTTTGGAAATTCACCAGACCAAGAGTCTGGCTGGAGACAGAACTGAGCTAGGCTGCCAGCAGCCTCATCCACACCCAGGCTGCACCGAGCTGAGCCCACTCACAACCATCCCTGCTCCTCCTCCAGGATACTTACCCTGCAATACTGGACTGATCCCTTTGGCTCATCTTTGCCTCCTGCTCCCTGCTGGGACACCCCAGCACTGGGGCCACAAGTCCCTACACTCCCCTGCTGAAAACCCTGGGCTTCACACAGAACCCAGAGAGTCCCAAACCACAGAAGATGACGCTAGAAAGGAGCCAGGAGTGCTTGAGTCTGCACCTCAGGGGTGGAGGAATGCAGGGAGATCTCCCCCAGGCCCTCTGCTCTCTGCAAGCAGCCTGGGGTGGCTGTGATTAGGGGACAGGGAGAGGGAAAGACATAATTTAACATTTCATTAGGTAACTACAAGGCATTGATCTGCCCTACCATCCTGCACGCTCTCTAATTGCAAATCTCCATTCTTATTAGTTCTATAGAAAAAGCAGAGAGCAGCACTCAGGAGTCTGATCCTATCTTTAGGAAATTTCAAACAGAGATGTAATTGTGGAGTGCTCGAAATCACGGTGCTTTACCCACTGTTAACGGTATTTTAAAGCCATGATCATCAATAGCAGTCCTCGGGATGAGCTCCCAGCAGATGCCATTAATCCTATTTTGGCTGTGGTCACCTGGTGTCTCTGGGCTCAGATTTACACTTGGTGACAAGGGACAGCTCTGCTTCCCCAGCAGAGAGGGCTCCCAGGCAGCCCCCAGGGACTGGCTCCAGAGGCAGAGGGCAAGCAAGAGGAGCTCCTAAAACCAGCTTCACCCCTTGCAAACATGCCAGCAGATGGAGATGAGCAGCTCTGCACCAGGGGCTGGCACAGGGATGGATGTTCATGGCCATGCAGGGGTCTGGGGAGGGCTCCAGGCAGGGCAATGGCCCCACTCAGGAATAAACCACGACATTTACTACATTTGCAGAGGAAATGGATCTGGGTGACACAAGACCAGGATGGGCCCCTCGGTCTCTGCAGAGAGATGGGAATCTTGGAACAGCTACAGCAGACCAGCAGGTCCCTGGGAGGTGATGCCCAGGGGGACATCAGCCAGGACACACACAGGGGAGGGCTGCTCCCATCTCCACTAACCCATACTGCAGGGACACATGGGCAGGTGGGATCCACAGTGAGATTCAGACCTGGGGGGAATTTCAGCTGCTGAAAAATCTTGCAAAGCTGGAGGAGGAACAGATGATCCTGCAAGCTGCTGGGAGAGCCTTGCAAGCAGGAATGCTGCAGGAGGAAGGGAAATTCCTCTGTCAAATGCAAACTAGCAGGTGTGAGAAATCTGGGTGTGCAGGAGGGAGAAAGGACTTTGCCTCACACTCTGTATCCTCGAAAGCCAGGCACCTGCCTCTGCTTATCCCTCAGTAAGGAGGGATTCCCCAGCATGGCCTCACTGCTGGGCGGGCTGCAGGGGGGCTCTGTGTCCCCCCAGAATGTTTCTTTGCCGCTTCTGCACAACAGATACAAAATGTGTGAAGAAAAGGCTTAGTCTGGGAAGTGGAGACTGGAGCATTCCTGGGCTCAGGACATACCTTGCGTCCCAACAGCCCTCCCAGCATTACAAAGCGTCTCGTGTTTGTGTGCTCAGTGCCTGTGGGCTCAGGTTTTAATTAAAGAGGAACTAGATACTATTTCCAACCTTCATTTATGCCACGCTGGATGCCACACCAGGGACTCTTTGAGCAGCTCAGGTCTGCTAGGAGAACAGATGTGCATCTCTGTCACGAGCGAGTCCCCACTGCGGACACGTGTCCTCCTGCTCCGCCAGGGCAGGGAAAGGATATCTCCACTGTGACTCGGGTCTCAGCACTCTGCTCTCAGCTGCCCATCCCAATCCATCCTATCCCATCCCACTGGCCTGCCACTGGTTGCAGCAGAGGGGCTGAAAGCAGAGCATGGGGCTGGAATGCTGCTGGAGCCCCCCTTGTAGGCTAGGAGAAGAACAGGATTGGAACTCCTGAGCAGCCACGGGTCATCAGAGCATCCCAGCCCCTGCACACTGTTGGGAGGGCCCTGGCTGAACCCTGGAGCATGGGAGCTCCAGCTAATTAGTCATTAATTGCTTCAGAAGGGAAAGGAGCCAAGCCAACCTCTGTGTGCCCTGGGACACAGCCAGCTGCACATCACTGAGCAGTGGCCGAGGGTCCATCTGTCACAGCAGAGCTGGACAAGCAGCCCAGCACAGTGGGTGTCCATCCCAGCAGCCTCCCCAGCCCCTTCCTGCCCCCATGGGACTCCTGGGAGCTCCCAGCCTCTGGCAGCAGCTTGGCAAGGCTCTGAGCTTGCTGCAGTGAGAGGCAAGCCCGGCTCATTTAATCTATTCAATTGGATTCAATTTCCAGCCACATGATTCAATTAGCCCTGGAGGGACAGCACAGGGAGCAGAAGCTGCAGAGCATGGTCCAGCCTGTGCTCCGGCAGCTGCCAAGCTGGGAGAGGGCAGCACTGGACCCTGTGCTTGTTCTGGCCCTCTGGGATGGGCTGAGATGTCAGGGGCTCCAGGGGAGCCCCATTCTGTCCCAGGGAGCAGGAGCTCGTCTGGGCACAAGCTGCTGGTCCTGGGTGATGTGTGGGCAGCTGGAGGGCACAGCTGGGGAAGCCCCATCCTGAACATCTCTCTTTGCAGCCAGTCCCAGCCCTGAGGGCTGACAGCCACACTGGGTCAGAGCTGAGGTCTGCAGCCCCGAGCACCTGCCAGGGTGGCCCAAAGAAGCTTTAGAAAGACAACAGCATCCAGCAATGCTCCCTTGAGGGTGCTGCCTATCGTACACATTTGGGATCAGCCCTCTCTTTAACCAGTGTCCCCCTGGGCACAACCACACTGTGCTGTATGTGGGAGAGCCAGGGCTCTGACCAGCAAAGGACCAGGGGTTTGCTACTACCTGCTCCTGGCAGCTCCAAAGAACACACAAACACCATTTGGAGCTGCTGGCCCATGCAGGGAAGACTCAGCTCCTGAGGAGCTGCCTCTCTCTCAAGTCTGCATGAAAAGTGGGACCTGTAAGAGCTCAGGAAAAAGAGATCAAAAATCAGTGGCACTTACAAAACAACTCTCAGTAACTCCCTCCAAAGTTTAGCTCAAATTCAATTCTCTTCCAGGTCATTATTTTGTAAAGTATTTGTCTCTCTGCAGCTGCTGCATAATTTAAAGGTAGCAATCTGACTTCTCCCCACACTCCCCAAGCCTCAGAAACAGCTCTTCCAATAACAGACAGAGTTATGAATTAGATATAACAAAATACACTCACCTGCTCAGATCAGATACAGGGAAGTTGGAGGCTGTCACACACATCCTGAAGCTGAACATTAAGATTTAAATGACTTTCTGCTCAGTTCAAGCTGGCCTCAAAACACAAATTGTAGTAGGGTGTTTAACAAAGCAGACAAATGTGCAGCAGAATCTGTGAGCAGGAGTTTGCTGACACCAGCAACAGAGAGCATCACACATAGGCAGGTCCCTGCATCCCTCACTCACGGGCTCAGCCTTGCTCACGGTTTCCTTAGTGCCAGCCCAGGGACACACAGGAGGAAGAGGGATGCTGACTGCTGGGTGGTACCTGCACACTGGACCAAGGACAGAGCACCACTGTGCAGCACCACAGCTGCCCTCTGCTCAGGCTGGAAGAGCCCAAGGGCAGTGATAGCCCTGCTGCAGCCAGTGTGCCACCGAACGGTGACAGGGCCACTCCCCAGCCACCCCACTCTCCCTCCAGTGAAGGACAAACACTGCACACTCTGGACAGACGGGGCTCTGCTATTTATTGAGCTCTAGGTTTGTATGTACATCCATTTACAGTGCTTGGTTCAGCGACAGTGTGACAAGAGGACATGTATCACAGTCTTCCCCAGCTCAGACTTGGGTGAGGGCTGGGCTCAGGAACTGATCCTACACATGCCTGGGCTTCTATGATCATCTCAGCAAGGGAGCACCCTCAGGGAGACAGGATAGCTGAGCCCAGAGCGAGAAGCTGAAAAGTCCAGAGGCTGCCAAGTCAGAAGCAGACTCAACCCAAAATCTCTCATGTATGTGTCTAGGCTCAGCCTAAATGGGCTCAGAGAACAGGAGGCATGAGGACAGCTGGATGACTCAATGCTCCACCAGTCACAATGCTGGGGCTGCACCTCAAGTCCCCTTGAGAAGGTGAGATCCCACCCCTCAGAGGGTGAGATCCCCCTCTATCCCCCCAGACAGGCACCACGTACTGCAAACAACTGTTCCTCATTTTCCACTGGAGAAGCTGCCTCCTCTACATGCCCTGGCCTGTTCTCAAGCAGTGATTTTATGGAGCCTGCTTGCTCTCCCCTAAGCAGTGTCCCTCTGACACATACACATTCCCATACACTTGCATGGCAGAAAGCAAATAAACGTCTGGCTTAGCTGTTAAAAGCCAGACAATTCCCTGCTGAGGAACAGTTTTATCTGCTGAGAGAAGCCAGTGCTCCCAAGGAAAACACAGGGATGTCATCAGTGTTGTGCCCAGTGGGTGGCCAAGGACACAGCTCTCAGTTTCCCATGCTCATAGCAGGTAAGATGAAACATTAACACAATTAACGCACAATAGCATGAAAAAAGCCTTGCCTAAAAATGGTAGTAAATGAGCATGACATCCACATTACTCACACTAACCTACAAGGCTAAGAGCAGGACTAGGCACTTTAAAAAAAAAACATCTGTTTTCTAGGGGGAGGAAAAAAACCTGTGGATCTGGGATGTAAATAACTTCTCTACTTCAGTCCACCAAGTCAGGCCAGATCCTAGTATCATAACATCAGTGCTGGGAGCTGAAAATGCATGAGCAGGGAACAGGTGTGGAACAGGTGTTCATGCTGTGTATTCCTGAGCTGGGAGCCTGACACAGCACTCTAAACAGGCTCTGCCAGATGTGGGCACCTCTGCAGCACTGGCTCTGGGAGCAGAGAGGTGCCTGTGCCCCAGAGCATCATCCCAGAGCTGCTCCTTGGGAAGCCCTCAGCAGACACGGCTGAACGTCGCTTGGTGAAGACAGGAGGGCAGGAAAGTGAAGTCACTACTTCTCCAGATGCATTTTAACTGTGTGCTACACACAAAGGAAAAACTGGAGACTTCTTCATTTATGAAGGTCACCAGGCACCTGCAAACATGTGCAAAGGCAGATGTTCCCGTGAGGAAGAGGAGGATTGTCGCAAAGCGGTCTCTGATGGGCAACAAGGTGAGTGGGGAGAAGGAGTCAGCCTCTGCCCCATGAAAACCAAATATCTAAAAATGTCCCTCTACCTTAGAAACAGCAGATGAGCTGGGGCTACCGGAAGCAACAGTGACCCCAAGCAGAGCTGGTCTCCAGTAGCAAAGTGCTCTGTTTGATGACCCATATTCTTGGATCCTGGCTCACAATGGACCCTGCAAGCCAACAGCCTTGGAAGCAAAGTTTCCCCTTTTCCAATGGCTTGGTTGAAGTGACACCTTTTGACATCAGGAGACAGCAGTGAGCAAGGCCTGCTCCTTGGGGAAACTGTTTTATAATCCAAAGCCATTCCCAATGGGATGGCAATGGATTTGACTTACATGACAGGAGGACACGTTGACCCAGGCTGATGGACAAGAACAGCCCTCACCTGGGACCAAAGAGCTTTCCCCATCGAGCAGGTGAGCAATCTCTACCCAGAACAGTTTCACACAGCTGGGCTGGTTTTATTATTTCAGTTGTGAGCTCTCCCCAGCTCTGCTACAAAGGTTTCCAGTGCATTTTCCCTGAGGCTGTGGAGGGAATCTCCCATTGCTATGTCACAGGAATGGCTGCCCACTCCCGTGGCACCATAAAAAGTTGCTTCCTCCTCAACGTGCCAATCAGCTCTCCTCAGCCCAAGTTCAGTTTAAACACATTCCTTTGGGATCAGACACACAGCAGCAAGGCGTTCCCCTAAAAGAAACTCAGTCCCTTCCGCAGGCAGAGGGGACCGGCCGCAGAGCGGAGTGTCCCTGCCCACCGGGCCGCCCGGCTCCGCCCGCGCTGCCGCAGCGTCCCCGCCTCACGAGATCGTCGAGAATTCCTTCAGCAGCAGCTCCTGGCTCAGCGTGTTGAAAGCAAGGTTCTTCCTCACGTTGATGCTGATGGAGCGAACCTGACAGAAACAAAACGAGATGTTTTAGCCATGTCCTGGCTCCTCATGAACCTGGCGGTTTTGACACTGCTGACCTCCATGCCCAGCATGGAGCTGTTTTGCACTTCCAGCTGCACAGCACTTGCTGCAGCAAGCTCTCACTGAGACTCCAGCCTAGCAAGGAAATGCTGAGGTTCAGGTGTTTCTTGGAAAAACAGGAATATCTACAGTGGCATCCCAGCAAGGAGAGTAAACTCCCAATGAGACAGGGATGGGAGAAGATGCTCTGTGTGGATGCATGAGCTATGATGTAGTTCCTGTTCTGGGACAAAGAGATGGGGGAAGTGAGCACTCCCAGGCTGCAGCTTAAAGACCATATTTTATCAATGCCCACCAGAGTGCCAGTGAGCATTTCCCAGATCAATGCAGTGCCATGGCCTCTGTCCTGCTCCAGAACACCAGAGCCAAAGATACAGACTGAAGGGGAGGACAGAGGCCATGCCACTGTGCTGTAAACACAAATTATCACCCAGGCTGGCAGAAACCCCTGGGTTCAGAGCCAGCTGTGTGTATTCTGAGTGCTGTGCACATGCAGCTGGCTCACTGGCTGTCTCTGAAGAAGAGACACCTTTATCCCTCAATGACACCCAGACTTCTGGTCACCCACAGAGCACAAAGAAGAGCTGGGCAGCCCTGTTGACAGCAGCTTCCCTTCCCCCCTCGTGCCAGCAGACTCCTTGGCCAAATACGCAGGCCCCAGACTGGGCTCAGTCTCAGCTGCACTTGGCAACGAGAAAACAAAGTCAAACATCATCTGTGTCAGCGACTGTGCAGCAGTGACAGAAAGCAAAACTGACACAAGCTCATCCAAACAACAGGATTACAGTTCCCAGAGACTCGGAGCCTGTGATAATAAGGTTGTTGCTGACCTGGTTAGTGTTTTGTACTTTCTAAAAGCACTGGAGGAAGAATTCTATAGATGCATAATGAGGAATCCAATACCAGGGGCTGGAAGAGCATATATATACACATTTTTCTCACTTGCTACCCAGTGAGAAAAACACACTGAAAGGGCAGAAAGCTACCCAAAAGGCAGAATGTGTAAGAAAGGGAAGGAAAGCAAAATTGGGAAGGTTAACAGGGAAAGCTGTGAAATGAACCCCAGTGAGCCCCATTGCATAAACCCTAACAACCCGAGCACGCCAGCAAAGATGTCTGTACTAAGAGACAAAGTACTTGAGTTTTATGTTATCTGCAGAAACCACAAACTCTCCTTCATCAGGATGCTTGGCAGAGACCCCAAGCATCTTTGTTCCCTTGGAGCACCCCTTCAACTCTCTACTTTAGGTGTTTTTTGACTTACTCCATCCTCAAATAGTTTGGGACCACGTCTTGCAAGATAAGCACGGTTGTACCCTGTGTTAAACACCACTGCAAGGGGTCTCCAGAGCACTGGCTGGCACAGGTTTGACCTGCTGCCAGGAGACAGGAGTCCCACTAACAGGATTTGGTACCAGTCCTGCCAAGTGCTCCAACGATCCAGTCAGTTCTTACAAGAAGGAAAGAACACAACAATGAGCTGTGGGGAGTTCTCTGCTCTGGGGAATATCAGTGCCTGAAGAAAAGGGGCAGATGCTATAAGCAGTATCCTTATTCTGACTAAAAGCATTTCTGTGGGTTCCAGCAACACAAAGTACAAGCAGTAATGAGCTCCTGGCCTCAGGAGCTGCTGCCAGGACTCAGGCACCAGCAGCAGAAGATTCCCAGCTTGTATACACATCAAGGTCTCTAAGAAGGGGTCTCTGCAAGTCCAGAAAGTGAGGCTGGAGTGGCACAATGAGAACACAGGGCTTAGCAGAAATTGTAGCTATGGGGTAGAGCACAAGAAATTAATTAGCCTGATTAGTTTGCAAAGAGAAGGAGGAATAGAGCAAACACACTCCATTATGTAAAATGAGGTCAGAAAGAGAACAGTGAGTAATATTTATCTGGCTCCCCAGGGATGGGGCAAGAAATACACAGCCTAATTTAGACAAAGAAGATTTACACAGGAAAAGAGGAAATACTTTTAAAACCTATGGGCTGTGAAGCAGTGGAGGAGCTCACCTGAAGCTACTGTGGAGCCAGTTTCATTTAAAGACAGCTTCAGGTTTAGACACAAACTTTGGTCAAGAGCAGTCTAGATGAATGTAGATCTCCCTGGTGAGAAGAGTGGGCATGGTAACACACAGGAATGACGTTTACACAAATCTCTGCCCAGCATTTCTTCTGCTGTGAGGCATCAGGCAGCCGGAGCCAACCCGCTTAAAAGGTAAGAATAGCTCAAATTAAAGTTAAATCAAGTTATCTCCAGCACCAGGGCTCAGCACAGGGAGCCAGAGCTTATCTCCCTTTTGGAGTTGGAAGAGCAGACAGTTACACAAGGAGGTGTCAGTCTGTAACAAGGATGCATTTCAGAAGCTTCCTATAGTGCACCTAAGCTGCTCCATAAGGATACACCCCAGGACTCCTCCTAGCTCTCGGTGCAGTGGGCAGCCCAAGCCTGGAATTTACCAGATCCCTCCAGACTTACACAATGGCCCCAGAACTCCAGAAATTAAGGTCAGAGCTTTAACATTAATTCTGCTAGGAAGTACAAGCAGAGCACATGTCATCTCTTGCTTCTGTATGGAGCATCCTGGAGAATTAGGGACAGAAGAACTCTAAAATTGTTTTCTTACTATCAGTCCACAAATGTTGAAAAAATGGAAAATGCACAAAATACTGACATCACCTGTGGAAGAATGAGTAAATGAAAGAATGGATGAAACAAGGGCATTAACCATGGGGAGGAAACATGATAAAATTTTAGTTTTGTGTCATCAGAGCTGGAAGTGTGCAAGGTTGTACCGACACTCCTATTTCACAGCAAGTCTCATCAACTAAACCTATTCCTAATCAACAAGCAGTCCTTAAATTATTTGTACAATGGGAAGAACATTTACACTGACTACTACACTTAATTAAAAGTCAAATTAAGATAATTTCCCCAGTCAAAATCAATCCCTAATCAGACTATGTTGAGACTGATGAAACCTATCTAACTGCAGAGACAGTGAATGCTTTGGAAAGATGCTGAAATCTCTTTCCACACATTCCTCCAGCTGCAATGTGAGGGTCCAAAAGCTCACATCCAAACCATTCTTTCTATCAAAGCAGCACAGACCTCAAATGACATCCCTGAGGCTTCAAAGGAAAAGAAATAAAAAGTCTAAGAAAACTTCTTAACTTCATTCCTTCAGCCCCTCAAAGGCAGCACAACATGCTGAAAAACCCAGCTGATAAAACAATCTGCACATCACCTTCCACCACAATGTGGCCGCAGTATCGCAGCCTTTGAAAACCTCTTTGTAAAGGGAATGGGAGAAGAAAGCAGATTCTTCTTTGGGATTAGCAAGAAAGAGCAGCACTGAGGCAAAGCAGAAGAAGTGAAGCAGTGAATTAGCAAAGCAGGTCAAAGGAGTGAGAACAAGATTTCTAAGCATAAAGGAGCCCCCAGAATGGCTTGGGGAAGCTTCTGCTCACCTACTTAATGGGAGCAAAGAGAGATAAAAAGGCAGCTGAAAAGGAAAATGTCTCCTCTGTGTCATTCCCCACCCAAGAAGGGTTTGCTTTGATGTAAACATTTGCAGACTGTGATAAGAAAACCTGGCAGAATCTGGAAAGAATTACTTGCAAACAGATCCTGTCCAGGAAGACCTGATGGGAACAATGTGAGTTCAGAAACTTGGAGTTCACCACCAGCCCTGAACTTTTGGTACAGTTCACAACGAGATTTGCAGCAACTTCCCTCTGCCCCCTCCATGAAATCCTGCAAACCTCCGAGGCTTAACCCAAAGCACCGGGTAGGGGGGTATTATCCAGCATCAGACCAGCAAGAGAAACTGAAGTAAAGACTCAAAAGCTTCACAAAAAGAAAGCAAGTACCTGGTTTGAAGGGACTGTGAGAAGGACAGGGCAGATTAGGGCCTTTTTGATGAGTTGTTTGAACAATTAATAGAGCCATCAGTTACTGTGCACCTAGAGAAAAGCAGAGCGAGGAGGCCGGGAGGCCAAGTGGATTTGCTGGAGACAAATCACAACGTATCAGGTTCATTCCCCGCTGCGCCGAGGCAACAGCTTAATGGAATGCAGGGGATTTTCTGTAGCTGTGAGTAAAGAACATTTAATAGGGTCCCAATTCTCAGGGCATCTAGAGATGTGGATTAAACTGATTCACAACTGGGTCAAATCAGCACATTTATACAGTAATTATTCAGGCTTTTATATGCTCTTGAGGAGAGGGTCCCAGGGGTACCTGGATGGGCAATTTTCACCAGGGAGTTGACGGGCTGGTTATGGTAAACAGATTCTTAAATGATACAAAATTGGGATTTTGAAAAAAAAATAGGAAATTGATCTAGGAAGAAAATAATTTTAGCTGAAATGTTTCGTGGCTGTGATGACCATAGGACTGAGAATGTAATTTTAATCAATTGGCATGATTGGCCTGAGCTTCTGCCAGGCCAAGTGGAAAGTAGGACATGCAGGAAGCAGGGCAGTCATGTGGCCAAGGGGAAGGAGATGCTGGCTGAGGGTGGGAGCCCTTGGGACAGAAGAGATGACAACAGAAATGGGAATGTGTCTTATTTCTAGAGTACAGTAGTAGAAGAAGCCTGTGTCACAGGAAGGCTATGGCCAAATTTCTTTGCTGTATTCCAGGAAAGCTGTGTCAAACAGCAGGCCAGAGAGACAAAAACAGGCACAAAAGAACACAGAAAAATAGCACAGAAGCAATTGCAAATGCTTTTGCCCATATACTACCCAGTGTCAGGGCTGGAATGACCCCAAGAAAGTTAAAAGCATGCTGTAAAAGGAAACAAAACCATTTCAGGTGCCTGTTCTGGAGCAGAGCTGACAGAGGGATGCACAACAACATGCCCCAACTCATGGAGACTCGTGATAGAGTAGGCAGGCATCAATTACTCATCAATCAGCAGGGACAGAACTGGGAGAAAGAATCAATTCTCAGACTGGTGGAGAAGGCTGCCAAAGTTAGAGATCCCTCCCTTTTGGTGAAGGTGTAATGATTCAAGAGTGAGGCTTCCCTCACACACCAGTCACTACAAAAACACTGCCTCCATGCTCATGTAGCAGTGGACATGAAAATTGCTCATGTGGACAAGAAAAGTTCCATCAGTGCTCTCTGGAGAAGGGTAAGCAAGCTGACTTGCTGAAGAATTATAACTACCAACCTGAATTATTTAGACTCATTTTTGTCTTTGCTCTATAATTTTTGTGGGTCTTCCTACCATCAGTCTTCTCTTCTTGCAGAGGGAGACATTTCTAGGGAATGCCTTCACTTTCTATGCTTGGAAACCCTTTTTTTGTGAGTGAAGGAGGAAGGCAATGAGCAGGAAGGTGTTTTACTAGTCCCAAACTTCATGGTCGCCTTAACAACAGCAAAAAAGCCAAGTTGCTCTGCATGATTAACCCCAGGTGGGAACAGCCAGCTCAGTCAGCTCCTCCCCATACAAATTTACACCCTGTCTTTGGGGGCAGTCCAATGGAGTAACAGGACTGCTCAGCTACACCCCAAATACCACTGGCCAGGCCATAACAAAGGTTCTGAAGGGGGCTGTTGATTGCTCAGAGGCAGGGCAGCTTACCAGCTCTTTGAAGAAGGCAGCCTCCTTATGCTGCTCCGAGTAGCGCTCGTACTGGTCCAGCCCGTCCTGCAGCTTCAGCGTCAGCGTGTCGTAGTTGGACCTCACCACCTCCAAAACCTGCCAGCAACAGCCAGACACAGCACAGGAATCAGCATCACAGACTCCTCAGCACAGGAGGAGCAGGGCTGAGATAGATCACAGCTCTGGCACCTGTTTTCACAACAGAGATGGCTTTAACAGCCAGTATTTGGCTCATGATTAACAACATGGAGCTGGGCACTAAAGGCTTCCTAATGCCAAGGAACAGTCCTGAAATTTACAGAATTTCTCCACTCATGAGAATGGTAGATGAAACCTATATCCATGACAGCAGCAGCTTTCTGTCATCAGAATTAGACATATTAATAAACCAAGCAGCTAATTACCACATGTACACCCAGATGCAACACAGAAGCACAATACAAATACAGATTTGCCCAGTCCCACAGTCCCAAGGTTAGTTTTGTCACCACGCTTCCCTCCTGGCTCATGAATCACCACTCACAGCCTGCTAAACCACCAGCTTCTAGAGCTGCTCAGGTCAGCTTCATACAGAGCACTGCATGTCTCTCCTGATAGGAACAAGCTTCTGACAAGCAGCACTAAGAGAAGACCAGCCCTGGTATGGACCCAGCTTTTAGAAAGACAGGAAGACATGAATCCAGGTCTTTCTGCCCAGGAGATCCTTTACTCTCTTTGGTTTTTACAACCAAAGCAGTTCCAGCTTTTATTACTGCCTTACTCTGCTCCCAGTGTTGGGTTATACTTGCAAACTCACAGTTACACATCTCTGTTCTATTGAACCATCCATTTTCCTAACTAGGGAACACCAAGAGGGACTCCCACAATGATTTTTAGCTTTAGAGCATTGCATGGACTAACATATTCCTCAAAGCACTTATGAGATGGTTGGTGACAACAATCTTCCTACAAGGAACCATAGAGGTTAACACTCCTGGGCAAACATATGCCTGAAATGATTCTCCTAAACACAGGAACTTCACTCTTAGGCTGTTGCCATTTGCTCTGAGAGCTAAACAGAATATGAACATCTGAGGTTTGCACTGCAGTAATCCCAGCTCATGACAAGCTTCAGCCAGGAAGACAGTTGGTAAAAGGTGCAAAAAGAGAGGACCCTGCTCCAAGGCATCACAACTCAGAACAGATCCTAAGAAGAGCATTGCAGAGGATTGAAGACAGCAGTGACCAGAACAACAAGGAGCCCTTGCACTTCTCCTCTTGTACTCCCAACAGTGTAAGCACTACTGTCAACTGCTCCTTTAGGCAGCTGGCAGCTCCTGCCCTTTACAGATATCTTGTCCTTACATTTTTTATTCTAAGAAATCTAAAGTTGCTTAGGGTTCATTCAAAAGCTTGCTTCTCCCAAACTCTGCACGTGGCAGTGGTGCACAGAGATACTCATGCTAGGGCCTGAGATGGCAGAAGCTACAGGGAATCATCCAAATGAGGACTGGGGGCAAAAAGGGGGTTCCAGAAGTGGTTCCCAGGTGAGATGGTCACACAGCAGTCTCTGCAGCTCAACTGTCCTGCAGCATTGCAGACACAAGCTAGGGAGAGGAATAAGGATCTGGATGAAGGTCTCAGAGTCCTTTTCCGACTGCATTGACTCTGATTCTGCAATGTTATTTAAGAACAGCTTGCCAGTGTTGCAAAGGCTCACAGCCTCCTCTCCAGCACTCATTTCCTAATGCTGTTTTGTTTGTCAGCTCCACTGGCAGAAAGAACTCCCTGCAATGACATCCATCTCCAAATTCAGCCTGCCCTTCTTGCTCCTGTGTGCAGAAGCTACAAGAAGTATTGCAGAGCCAAGAGCAATGATGAAAGAATGCCACCTGGGCACAGGAATAACTATCCACTAGGGACACAGTGTAATAGCATAATGCACCTTCTTCTTAGCAATAAAGGATCTGGCAGCTTGCTCCTGTCAATCAGAGGAAGCCAAATTGATCAAGATTAATAAGCTGCAGAGAAAAATCCTGATTTGAAAGGTGAGGAGTTGAACAGGATTCTCCAGCAGTAATTCAAGAGCAAAGGCATTTCATTCAGGGTTACCTGACTCCCCAGGAACCTTCCCTTCAGTCTCCCTGTATTCCCATACACACAGGTGTGCACTGTGCCCCACAGCTGTGATTGCTCAATGGATGCACGTGTTTCTTTAGGAATAATCAGGATTCCTCCTTGCTAGCTCTGAGTAGAGATCTCTTCAGATAGTCAAAAGAGGCATCCTCAAACCATGATGAAGAGAAGTAAACTCTGAGAGCAGTAGTGAGCTCTGTAACCAGAATCCTTTAAATCTGTCTGCTTGCATCACCTTTGAAAGGCAGCTAAGAACTCAGTTTGATACTTCAGGATGAGGACAGGGAAGAAAAGAGGCCCCCAAATTCTCTACTCTGTTACTTATTGTAATCTCTGCAGTGAGCTTGAGATCAGCTTATCCCTTCACTATGTATTTCATTGGCTTCCACTCCTATCTCCTTTAATTATGAAATAGAACTTAAAAAGAAAGGGTAAGTTAAAAATAAACAGCTTCTCCCCACTGCGTGATAATTTCCCTTTCTTGCTGCTACTGAGAAAAAAATGCTACGTGGGATCTGAGATAAACCCACTCACAGATCATTTCAACCTCATACCTTGTAATGGATAGAAGCTATTACTGAGATTAGGACCTGCCATCCTTGAGATGACTTCATCTGCTCTTTAAGATGCAGCTGCTAGACAGAGGACAGGTCAAAGAGCAGCAGAAGGTATTAAGAATACCTAACAGGAAGGTTTAAAAGACATCAACTTCCTACACAGATGACAAAAAACCTCACATCCTTGGTGTAATAGAAGACTGCATGTTAGCATCCTTTGCCCTTCTTACACATTGCTTTGACTTTTGCTCAGGAAAACTACTGCAGGAAGAACAGCCTTTTTCCTTAAACACACAAGATCTTTATCTGCACTTTCTGTCAGATCCAAAGGAACTTGAGCAATTTAATTTTGAGATTAAAGCATTTCTCCCTCAAAGTCTTGTTCAACCCATTCTTCTTGGAAGTCTCATGTCTAGAAAACATGAATTCCAAGATGGTCGAGTATGAGAAGGGAAAGGCTTTTTAGCTGTTCCTCCAAACAGATTTGAAATACTCATTCAGATTTTTACCATCTCATGAGAAGCTGGAAAAATACCAGTTTCAGTGTCAGGCAAGGACAGATGAAATTGGACTGTAGATGATCTTCAAGGAGTTTGATGTGACACCCCTAAGACTGCAAGGATAAACATGCAGGGGAAGCTTTTTGCTTTTTTTTTTTAATAGTTTACTGGATCTTTACAGTGGGGAAAAAAAACCCAAAAAAACCAACAAACAAACCCTAATGGAGTCACAATCTAAAAGTCCTTTTGTAGGTTACCTTAGGGGGATCAGAGTCTTTAAAAAGCAGTATGATGGAAGCCAGCAACTCAGACAGGGTCAATACAAGAGGAGAGAAGGCTGCTGAATTCCCTTCCTGCAGTTACCTGTATCAGCCCCAGAGGCTATATTTGCTCATTTTTTCCACTGCAACAAACCAGAACTCAATGGAGCTGTACCGCTGTAATTTAAAGATAATTTGCCATCGAATTAACCCCCTATCACCACTCACTCTCTGACCGCTTTCCAGAAGTTCCAGGGAAATGCTGGAGATTCAGGTCCCTGCATGTGTGTCCCCAAACCAACTTTTCAGGAGCTGCTCTGAACAGCAAGTGTTTTCTCTGGCATTCAGATTTCAGCTTCCTCCTGCAGCTACAACTGCCCATGCCCCATAAAACTCTCCTTCCCCAGTCATACCAACAGCTTGTGAGTAGAGGCAACCCCTCAGGAACATGGCAGGAGGGCTGGCTTCCAAAGGAGGGACTGATGTGGGGCTCAGCTCGGTGCAGCATCCCACCCTTGCCATGCCAGGTCACTGCACCCAGAGGAACAAGATTATTTCCCAGCTTGTGGCTCCTTACTTTGCTCCATCCACCAGCTCCTTCTACCACTGCCTTGCAAACTGGATGGACAATCTTGGTCAGTTGGGTCAGTGGCCTCCTCTCACACAAGCTCTGAAACCATTTCCCCCAGAAGCAGTTGCCCCTGCCCTGAAATTTTCAGCATTCAAAACACAGCATCATTTTGCTGTACTAGTCACTGACTTTTTCCTTACTGCACCAGAGCTGCTCCCTCTGACTGATCCTCAGCAAGAGCCAACACACTGCACTCCCCCAGGAGAGACCAGTCCTCCTGCAAGATCCTGTCCTGGAGAAACACAGGGATTACAGCACTCTCCTATCCCCACTGCGCCCAGGAGAGCACTGCTGCTGTTAGCAGCAATGCCACAGAGGGAGCTGCACCAGCAGTAAAACCTAATGGGCAACATGCAGCTCTAGGGCCCATCTATCTAGCAGACATCATCTGCTTCATTGCTTAGTAACTTTTTAACCTGCAGAATCCTTCAGCATCTGCATCTGCAGTCTCTGCCTTACTGGAACATAAAATTAGAGAGCACCAGCAATTCACAGCACCCAGCAAAGGACCTGGTGGTGGGTAGGTTCCAGGGAGCATGCACAGGCAATGACAAAAATAAAAGGAAAAACAGAAACAAGAACAAACCAAGGTCTCTACATTGTCTTTTTAATTAGCACAGGAAAGCACAAGAATGCAATCAGTCAGCATCACCAGTACCTCACTAAAGCCTCTCCATGCCCATAAGACAGTCATTAAGTACCATGACACAGATTGAATGATCTCACACCAAGCAAAAGGTAAAACACCCCCAACAATGCCCAGGTTAAAATGCACTTGCCCCCTCACCAACTCCCAGCTGCTCAGGGATGGATGGGGGAGTGTCTCAGGTCAGGACTAGCAAGGCCCCACAGGACAGAAAAGCCAGAGGCTCTGTCCCATCTGTTCCCTGCCAGAGGATGGAGCAGCCAGCCTGTGAGGCATGTAATGCCAGCCTCTCATCAGCACTGCTGCACAACAGGGCAGGACTGAGGGCAGCCAAACATGCCTTCTGTGCACCCTGCAGAGGTGTGGAGGCACTGTCTGTGTACCACA